GGGAGATGCGGGCGAGGACAGGACAGGAGGAGAGACTCTTTCCAGACAGCCCTTACCCCCTACCCGCCGGGCGTGAGAGAGGGGTGTGTCTGTGAGGTTGTGCAGGGGAGATGGTGTCTCCGCGGGAAATGTGATGGGAGACTGTAGCCAAGTTCGGCGGTATCTGTGTGAGTCCGTGTGTGCGCGCGTGTGTCCGAGCTGTGTATCCTCGGAACACAGTGCCCACCTGGCATTGTGACAAGGGCAGAGAAGAGAAATGAGAAGGCGGGGGTGGATGGGCGGAAGGACAGACAGCGAGGAAGGCGAGCGAGGTTGGCGCGGAAAGACGGCAAGGCTGACACCCTGCTGGCTTGTCTGTCTGTCTCGCACTCCCGCTCCGTCTGGCGCACTCGCGGGTCGGGCTTCGTCCCCTCCCGCGCCGCGCCTGGAGCGGGATCCGAGTCAGGCCTCCACCCTGGCACCAGCCCCCCGGACCCTCAGCCAACTTGAGCTGGGAGAGCGCCTATCCTGAATCGGGAATCTGTCTGTCCGCGTCCCCCACGCCGCGCAAAGTTCGGAAGCTCCGAGCGGGAGGCGGGGCGGGCGTACGGAGCCCCTCGCACTCTGGGACCTTTGCGTCCCGGACCCCAGCGCTCGCGCTACCGCAGGGCAGCCCTTACCTTCCTCAAGAGCCACGGGCCAAAGAGCAAGAGAAGCCATTCCGGGAGCAGCCGCATCTTCCCGGGAGGCCGGGCGGGGCGGGCGGGGCGGGTCCCAGGCAAACGGGAGCCGGGCCTGAGGTCGAAGGCGCGGGGTGGCTGCCGAAGCGGCGGGAGCGGGCGGCGCGGCCCGCGGACTGAGCGGCGAGAGGAGCGGAGAGCGGCGCTGGGGGCGGGGCGCGGGCGGGGGAGAAAGTTGGGTCTGACTCGGGCGGGCTGGGGGGCGGGGCTCCGCGGAGCTCCAATCCCGGCCGCGCCCCGCGCGCCCCCTCCCGCCCAGCTGGGGGCACCGAAGGTGACTTTCACCCCGACACGCCCCAGACACGCCCCCGGCCCAGGTGCTAAGGGGAGAGAGCTGAGGGGTTCGGGCACCCTGTACCCGAGAGGCTGGGTCTGTGCACCGCTGAGGAATAGGGCCGGGAGTGGGGCTCGAGGCTCCGGGACCTTGTTCCTGAAGCGGGGCACGGTGGAGCAGGGGCCTGGGGAGGCTCAGCGGCCCAGCAAGACCAGGGTCCTTCGGAGCTCCGGGCCCCTTCGATGCTCCGGGCCCTGGAGGGTCCCAGGGCAGAGGCAGGGCAGGGGCCGAGGTGAGGGCGGGCGGGGCCCCGGGCGCCTGCCGCTGCGCGGCTCTGACGGGGATGGATGGGCGCCCCGCGGCTCATTCGGCCCGGAGATGAGAATCATTGATCACGGAAGGAAACCCCATCACGTCTTTCAATAGGGCTGACAAACGACGCCCGCCGTCCCCCCAACCCCCGCCTTCAAGGCACCTCTGCGGTCTCAAGACCCCTCCGCTAGATCCGCCGTTCACCTTTGCCCCTCGCCCCCCACCGCCGACCCCTCAACACGTCCCAGAGCATCCCCGCTTTGGGGGGTTGGGCAGGAGCCGCGCCGCCTGTCCGGCCTCTTGGTGCAGCCTCCATCCCTTTTCTCCCAGTGTCCCATCTTTCACCATCAGCTCCTCTAGATCCTTCTCCCCTTCCGCCTCTGTCTCTGTCCTTGTCTCTGTCTCCAGCCTGGCCCTGTCTCTGTTCCTATCCTCTTGGCTGTTTCTTCATCCCTCCCTCCTCCCACTAGTCTCTCTCTCTCTCTCTCCTGCCCAAGGAGTCTTCACCTGTCAGCTGTTGCTATGCACTGAGGCTGTGGCTGAGATTGTGGTATGACCGACACCTTGACAGCGAGAGATAGGGACAAGCAAAGACAGACAGAGAGACAGACACATACCCGGAGACACCAGCACGTGCCCCCAGGCATGCACGCAGGTACATCACAGGGGCAGGCCACTCTGTAGAGGTGAACATACAGGCAGAGAGAAACACATTCACACAGAGAGCAGCACACACATACAGACAGGTACACACCTCGAGGCACTGATCCACACAGATGGACACACTCGGTTTACACACACACAGAAGCACACAGAGACAGAGAGACAAATGCACACTTTCACCAAGAGACAAGCATACCCAGCCAGGTACTCAGAGCCGACGACCGACCCCACCTTCCTTGCCTTGGCAGAGAGGCAAATATCCACATATGTAGATGGACACGCACTCAGGTGTACGCCGGCACTGGCAGTCCGAAAGACAAGCCCAGGAACGCACAAAGACAGATATAGGGATGTGACAGACACAAAACAAGGATTAGGAATGCTGAGAAGATGAGGCAGACACAGAGACACCCAGACAGACAGAAGCCAGGAGGCAGGAACCTGGGTGCAGGCGGGGCAGAGAGGGAGGCGGGAAGGGGTAGAAGGCCCAAGGCCAAGAGGCTCCATCCAGAATCCTGCACCTGGCCAAGCACAAGGGCTGCTGAAATGGTAGTGGGCGGTGGGGGAAGTAGGCACACTCAGGCTCAGGGCACCCAGGACAGAAGCTCTTCACTAGAGTCCTGGTTTTCTGGAGTCCTACCCACCCCATCTCTCCTCCTTTCCCTAGTCTCAGGTCACTGCTTTCTGTCTCCAGCTACACACACACACACCCCACTCCCTGTCTCCATCTCTGTGTCTCTGTCTCTCATTCCGTCTGTATCAGCCTCTGCCTCTGGTTCTGCCCGTCTCTTCTCCATCTCTATCTTAGGTCTCTCTGCCATCCTTGGCAGGTGAGGAGTTTTTGAGGACTGCCTCCTGGTAGACCCTCTCCTGGCCATCCTGGCGGGCAGAGGGAGGATGCTGACTGGAGGGTGTGTGTTCCAAGCCGCAGCTGGGGGCCCCTCTCGTTCTGCCCAGGATCTTGAGGCGACAGGCAGAGAATCAGTGGCTCCCCGGGGGCGCCAGATGCGCGGCTGGCAGAAGGAGGGAGTGAGGGGGTGGGGCTGGTGGTGGTGGGTAGTAGGCAGGCGCTGGGGGAGGGAGAGAAGCCGGCTGGAGGAGGGTAGAGGGGGTGTGGCAGAATAGCCCAAGGGAAGGAAGTGAGAGGCTGGGCTGGGGTCCGCCTGGAGGTGCATAATTAGTGTACTGGGGAGGGGGCTGTGCTGGGCTTGAGGATGAGCTGCGCTGCAGGAGTGCGTACGCCACCTGGTGGACAGATGAGGACACAAGCCTCCCTCTAAGCGATCAACAAGGACGCCCCCTTTCTCCAGCAGGATCGCTCTGCCCTGGGGCCCTAGGGAGCCCGGGAGGCAGTGGAGGATAGCAGAACTGGCTTGGAAGCTGAGGCTGGAGATGGCATCTCAGGCCTAAGAGGGAAGGGGAGGGCTCCTGTTTCTAGAGGTGCTTGGACCCATAGCTTCCTCAGGAAAGGAGGAATAGGCTGAGAAGGTTAAACCAGGGAGGCAGGGGGAATGAAAGGCAGCACTCCCCCCTTGGGCTTGGCAAGGGCCCTTCAGACGTTTAAAGCTGCCATCTCTGAGCATATTTGCTACTGTGGGGAGAGCGGAGCCCTAACCCTTTCTCAATCTTGGACCATGTAAAGCGGCGTGACCTTCTGCAAGAGGTTCCCTTCTCTGACCAGGGGCTGAAGTAGACCTGGTACCCCCTTTGGTTGTAGCAGTCCTTTCCTGTCAACCCCTGGGATGTGAGATGTGTCTGTTGGTGGACCGTGGGGCCTGGAAAACTGGTCTTCCCAGCTTTAGCTTCAGGGGCCCCCCTCCTGAATCCGGGGTTCTGACTCTTGGCATCTGATTAATTACCCTCCATTAAGTGTGAGATGTCAGTGCTTCAAGAGCAAACTTAGAGAGAACTGTATGGGACCACCCTGAAGGATTAGAAAGCCGTTCACAACCCCAGTGTGTTCATTTCTTATTGTGGGATTTCTCACTGTGGGAGATAATTTTGGGTAGGGGTGGCAGTGTTGTCCCATAAAAGTGACAATACAGAGAAACAGATCTTGGAGTTAGTGTCCTAGAGCCAGACAGAACACATGATCCAGAGAGGTGAAGTCACTGGTTCAAGTTCACACATCCAGGAGAAGCAGGTCTTTCTGGTCAAGTCCAGTGCCACCCACTTCCCTGCCACAGCCCAATGAAGGGGGATGGAGCTCCAGAAGGGCACTGAAGACCCGATGCTCAAGCCTCCCTCCAGCACAGAGCATGGCTCCCTCTGGTGGCTGGAGCATGAAAGCACAGGCCAGCTCCCAGAGTCTCACACTCAGGTAGACACAAACGGCTTTTTTTCTTTTTCTTTTTTTTTTTTTTTTACAGTTTTATTTATAACAATATCTGTGTTATTTAGTTGTAAAGGAATTCAGCAAAAATTATTAAAACGTTCATATCCCCAAAACGGGGCTGCCCGCTTGCCCTTCCTTGGTGTGCCCCACTTCCTCCTCATCCCCAGGGGAGGGGAGCCTGGGGGAGTGTTACCAAAGAAAGTCTCCAGCCCTGGGAGCCACAGTGGGGGCACTGGAGAGGGGGAGGGCCTGTCTGGTAGGGATACTGAGTGTGGCCATCTCAGAGGTGCCCCTAGAGTAGGGGCTGGGGCATGGGATGGCCTCCCCCAAGAAGAACTAAAAAACTCCATCCTTTCCTTCCTACCTCAGCCGGAGCCAAGTCTTCCAGACAAGGGCAGCAAAGGACTCACCCGCCCCAGAATCCCAGAGTCAGCCCTCAGGGAGCTGGGAGGGGTGGGGGCGATGAGGGGGGAGAGCCTTGACGAAGTGTCTTGTACAGGGAGGGGGAGGCAGCACCACCAGCTCTCCCAGTGGGGCTGCGTTTCTGGTGGGAAGGTGGGAGGCAGGGCCCCCTTATACCGGTAAGTTGCAGGGGCCCCCTTCCTGCGCCCCCTCCCGGAAGGCAGCATTGGGCGGGGTGCTGAGGAGCAGGCAGGAAGGAGAACGGAAAGAGATAATACTGTGCCCACTTGCTCGCTCACATATAAAAAGTAATTCCTTCATTTTTACATTTATACATCCCAGCAGGGCTGGGGAGGGGTTGGCGGGGTAGGATGGGGGCTCCTTGAAGGACTTCTCTGGCAGGGGGCAGGAGGCTCTCTGCAGAAGTCCGATGGTGCAGGACCCTATGCCAAGGGGTCCCCTATCTCGTCCTCAGGGCCCCGGCCCAGGAGTTCTCGCTTCTCATCCGTGCTGGCCAAGGAGTGGCGGCTGCCATGACCACCCATATAGAGTGTGGCGTACACGGGGTTGGTGAAGTTGGTGGGCTGCAAGGCGACAGAGCGGTCAGGTGGGGCTCAGGGGCTGGGCTCTGTGGCCCGGGTACCCCATCCCCACCTCCATTCCATCATCCAGCCCAATACCCTTGGTCACCCCACCCACAGCCCTTTCTCCCTGTCCTGGAAGCCTCCTCCCCTGTCCTCCCAGCCCACCTTGTCAGGGTCCAGGGCGAAGTCGGCATCCAGTAGGCCCCCTACATCATCAGGCTCCCCGCCTTCGTACATCTTATACGTGGGGTTCCCAATCTCCACGTTCATGGCCCCGTTGGTCATCCGCTGATGCTGGAAGCCCTTAGCCCTGGGAGGAAGAAGGAGGTTGGGGGCAGGGATTCTAGGGGGATATGGCTATAGGGTGGTAAAATCATGGCCACAATTTTCCAGGCTCCCCATAACTCACCCTCGGACTCGCCGCTTGTACCAGAACACCACTCCCGCTACCAGAAGCAGCAGCAGCAGCAAGAGCAAAGGGATTAGGATGGAGGCCATATCTAGAGGGGAGGAGGTGGGAAGCTCAGTCTGAAAGGCCTAGGAGGCACAAAGCCCTCTGTCCCAGGTCCCGGCAGCCCTGCCTCCCCAACCGCTGCCACCTACGTCCAGGCTGCTCTTGGCCGACCACGTGCTCCTCACACCGGGGTCCCGCCATGTGGGGTGGGCACCTGCAGACGGGAGAGGCAGAGCTGAGGGGGCATGTTGTCCACAACCGTGGCTGCCGGGGAAACTGGGAGGGACCGCAGGATTCTACTGGTCCGGCTCAGACATGGGGGAGGGAGGGATAATCTAGGCCTCAGTGAGGCGCAGGCCCAACTCACTGGCACTCGGGCATCATTTTGCTGTTCATGGTGCAGGAACCGCCATTGCTGCAGTGGCCAACGCAGGTCAGACAGCTGGGGGCCACCCGGCCATCAGAGCAGCTGCAGGAAGGAGTGAGAGGCTGGGCAGGGCTGACGGAGGGCGTCTGAGATGCTGGGGAAGGGGCGGGGCGGGGCTGGGAGGAGTGGGCCGCAGGTGGGACAGGGCAGGGTCTGGCAGGGCAGACTGCGGGGCGGGGCCCCACTCACTTGCAGGTGACATCCCCGCTCTGCTTGTTGACCACGCAGGCCCCGTCGAGACAGCGGCTACACTTGTTCACCTCACACCTGGGCCCCTCGAAGTAGGCGGTGCAGCGGCACTGCCGGGAGCCGTCAGCAGCCATCTGGCACGTGCCAAAGTTCTCACAGTAGCCAGAGCACTGCCCTGTGGTTTGGGGGGTGGGAGAGGAGGTGCCTCGAACGCCACCCTCAGGAGGGTCCCCCAGAGGTTGTGGGGGGCAGCTGCCCACCTGAGGGGACCCCCAGGCCTTTTGGGTGACTCCCGCCTCCTCCTGAGCCCCTGGCTGCCCCCACGTCACAGGCTCCAGGATACAAAGATGTCCCGGAGCATCCTGACAGGGCACTGCTTTTGCTTGAATAATCCTGATGCCAGAGGGCTCACTACCTCGGTGGGGAGTGTGCTGACCCCTCCACAGGGGAGCACTGGCAACTTGGGCCTGGCTGGGCCACAAACGGCCTCTCTCCAGAGGACTCGCACCTGTGACATCAACCTACGCTCTCAGACCCCCAGCTCCACCATGCCCTGCCCCAGGGCCCAGGGACGGCTCACTCACGGTACTGGCAGCGGTCGCCCAGGAAGCCAGGCAGGCATCGGCACTGGGGCTGGTTGCCCTGGTTGACGGTGCAGGTGCTGTTGTTGGCACAGTACCCCGCACACACCTGCTGGGTGCATTTGGGGCCCGTGAAGCCTGTGGGGCACCGGCACGTGGGCATGCCTGGCGGGAGAGGATGTGTGAGCGGGGCTGTGGCCCACTGAGCCGCCCTGCCCTGCTGCAGGGGAACAGGGCTGGGAGGGCCTGGGCGGAGGGCAGACGGCAGAGGAAAGCGAGACGGGGTTGGGGGCAGGGGTGAAGTAAGGCCGGGCAGGGGCTGGGGATTTGTCTGAGCGGAGGCGGCTTGCTGGAGGGGCTGGGGGCCCAGGGACCGGGAGCAGTCCTGGCAGGAGAACTGAAGGCCGTACCGGAGGGGGAGGCAGCACAGGTGCCCCCATTGCGACAGTGCTCCCAGCACTGGTCCAGCTCACACTTGTCGCCCGTGTAGCGGGGCTGGCAGCGGCACTTGGGCTGTCTCCGTGCATTGAGGAAGCAGCTGCCACCATTGAAGCACTGCAGGTTACAGGTTCCGGGCCGAGGAGCTGCAGGAAGGATCATGGCGGGGGGTGGAGAGCCGGGGGGTGGTGAGGGGAATTCAGGGGCTGTGGGGAGGAGGGCTCTGGAGCATGGGACGGGGGACCAGAGAGGGGCGTGAGCATACCGTCCGGCGGGGGCGTTGGCGAGGGCACAGCCACACAGGTGCCATTGTCTAGTCGCTTCCCGTTGGGACAGGTGCAGACAGGCCCACTGGGGCTCAGCAGGCAGAGCCACTCGCACTTCTTGCGGTCACAAGGGTTGGTCACTGCAGGTGAGGGCAGGGGTGGGAGGATGCTGAGCCCTGTGGACCCAGAACCTCCCCTGCCCACCGGGACCTGAGGCTGCAGCTTGGAGACTCAGCGCCCCCTGGCCTTCCCTGCGCCAGCCTGGGCTCTCTGTCTCCACTCACCTTCAGGCTGCTTGTGCTGGTGGTACAGGACCACATCCGAGGCGTGGCTCAGGCCCCCCGTCAGGTTGATCAATGGGCTATGTCCAAACTTATGGATCTTGAAGACACGATTATTGATGTAGGTGACGCCATAGATGTAATCCTCAAAGACATCGATGCTGAAGGGGTGGCTTAGGCCTGCGGAGGGGTCAGAGGGGACTCAGGCCCTGGTCACACTCTCCAGGACAGTGGGCCCCAAGGCTCCCAGGTACCTCTAACTCAAACATCCCAAAGCAAACTCTCCTCAACCTGTTCCTCCTGCTGTGGCCACTACTGGCAAAAGGTCCCATCAGCCCTAGACGTCTGGGGTCAGGGTCAACTTCTGCTCCCTCTTCTCACATTGGCTATGTTCCTATTATTACCCATATTGCCTCCACACAGCTCAATACTCATTGGTAGAATGAATGAATGGAAAAGTGGCCCAGAGGGTCAGGGTGGGCCTCAGGCCTGCAGGACTGGTGCAGGGGGTGTCTGGTTGGGAGGGGCCTGAAAGGCACTGCAAGATTGTTGAGGGCCAGGCTGAGGAGGATGGTAGGTGCTAGGTGAGGCCTTGGGCTCAGAGGGGAGGACAAGGGCCCGAGGCTGCTGGTGGACTCTGACCTCGTTTGCTGTCAGCAGCCACGATGGGGTCAGTGCCGTTGAGCCGGATGCTGCCGATGACTGAGAGCTTGGCATCCGCCCAGTACAGACGTTCATTGTGGTAATCCACGGCCAGGCCTGGGGGACCAGAGAGCACTGTGACGGCCCAGCCCCCCTGCCCCGGCCTGGAGGAGCAAGCAGGACTGTCTCCATGTTTGGGACAGTTCCACCCTGTTCCCATGATCACTCCCAATCACCTCTTCTGGGAAAAGCCTCCACAACCCATCTGTCCCATCCCAGTCCAAGCCCCTTCCCCTAACTTTTGTGTGGCCCCGGGCTCAGCGAGCCTACCCCTCCCACATCCCCTGCCCACTTCTGCACGGACCTGTGGGCCATTGGATGTTGTCCTGTACCAGTGTCTCCCGAAGGGTCCCATCCATGGCTGCTGTTTCAATCTTGGGGTGGTTCCCCCAGTCTGACCAGTACATGGTGCTGGGGAGGGAGAAGGAGTGAGTGTGGCTAGGACCTGGGCTCCCACAGGAGGCCACTCAAGGTGGGCACAGGGCACAGAGACTGCTGGGTGCACAGAGAGGAGGGTGTTCTTGTCCACCTCCTCCAGAGAGAAGTGGGGGGAGTCAACTTCCTGACCAGGTTAAAGATCTTATACTCTAAAACCACAGTGTGCTGCTCCAGAGTCGTCTAAGGAGGCAGAGCTGCCCCCTGGAGCAGAGGAGAAGCCCAGAAGCGACAGCCAGCCAAGTGGAGGTCAGGCCCCACCTCAGCAGGCCAGCAGGACCCCAGGGAGGGCCAGGGCTGGGCGCAGCCTGGAAGACCCAGGGGCCTGCGGAGGACTCTGACCTCAGGCTGGTCTGGGAGAGGAAGGACAAGCCGGGGGATGCTGGGCACCCACCTCCAACCCAGGGGCTTCCTAGCCCCAGCCCAGATGCCTCCCCCCAGGACCCCTGCCCACCCCCTCAGCGGGTCCACCACAATGGCATGGGGCTCGTCAATCATGCCGGAGATGAGCGTCTTGCGGTTCTCGCCCTTCATCTGTGCCACTTCAATCACATCTCGGCCCGAGTCGGTCCAATACACGTTCCCGGCAACCCAGTCGATGGCGATGCCCCTTGGCATCTTGAGCCCTGAAATCTGGATGAGGGGGTTACAGTTTCAGAGGCTTCCACCTTTTGTCTTCCTGCCCATTGTCCAGCCCCCCGACACCCGGTCAGCCTGTCCCTGCTAGATATCGCGACCTTGATTTATTGAGGAACAGAGTAAAGCCCAAAGAGACGAAATAGGTTAGTAAGATGGAATAGGTTAGTTAGTGGGCTGGCTGTGACGATCAGGAACTGAACGTGGCTCTGATGCTGCTGGCCAGGTGCCCCCTGTGCCCTGTAGCCTGGGGCTGCCATGCGGCAGAAACACCTACTGACGATGGTGCTGCTCTGTCTACCTGCTGTCCGTGCCTCATGACGTAATCTGGAGTCTGCCCTGCATGCCAGTCTCACCCTTTGGCCCTTCCTCTGTCCTCTGCAAACTCTGCTCTGAACAGTCTGCTTTTTGGAGTCTTCCCACCCAGCCCGTGCCTCCACGTAGGTCCCACCCCAGGCTGGGTGCTCACATTAAGGTGGGTGACACCCCGGTCAATCTGTCGCCGGTGGCGATTGGAAGTGGTGGGAGGCGCAGCAGGTGGCAGGCTGCGGTAGGAGATGGTGCCCGTGTGCCAATTGGTCCAGTAGACGCGGCCAGCCTTGACATGGACATCCATGGCATCGATGCGGACACTCTCGTCACCCTGGAAGGCCTGCTCATAAGCCGAATGGGGGTGACTGGGGAACAGGCTTCGGATCTCATTGTCATCAGCAATGTACAGGACCTGATACTCAGAGCCTGGAGGGACAAGAGACCAGATGTTGGTGGGGGTGAAAGGTGGGACTGGGGGCTGTTGGGCCTGGTGCTGGAAGGAGCCGCCGTAACGTGCTCCCCACCCAGCCCAGCGCCTTTCACACTAACAATGTCTCTTCTCCTAATCAAACCATCTGACCCAGTCAGAAGCCTCTGTCATCCTGCCCCAGAGCCAGGCTTGAGGACTCCAGCCTCAGCCCCTGGAACTCCCCTCCCCTCCCCTCCCGCCCCTCCTCTCCTCTCCTGAGGTGATCTAGTGTGACCTGCTGACCCTCCTCCTCCAGCCTCATGGACTTCTGCCTCCTCGTGGCTTCTGCTAGCATCACCACGGTCCCTGCTCCACACTGATATCTGCTTGCAGGTGCACACACATGTGGGGGTGTGTGAGCATGGCCACGGAGGGGGGCAGGTGTGCATGGGCATCCGAGTGCACTTGGGCACGTGTGGTGGGGTTGTGTGTGCACAGTGTGTGTGTGTGCCTGGGTGTGCATACATGGATGTGGGGTATGTTTGTATACAGGCATGAGGAAGGTGCAGGTGTGTGTCAAAGCATATGTGGGTGTAGAACTTACATGTTCTCACCAAAAAAAAAAAAAAGAAAAGTAAATACGTGAACTGATAGATGTGTTAACTCGATGCGGGGGGAATCCTTTCACAAGGCGTATGTACATCAAATCATCACCTTGCACACATTAAATATCTTACAATTTTGTCAATTATACCTCAATAAACATGAAAAAAGCATAATGGGAATATGCAGGTGGGGTACACTTGGCTCTGTAAGTGTGGTGATGCCGCCTGCGTGCTCTGCCCCCAAACTTCCTCAGCCCCAGGACCTCGGGCCCCTGCATGGCTGCCAGAACGGAGTGCAGAAAGCTGTACTGAGGGTCTGGAATTTCAAGCTTGGGCAAGGGTGCTTGGAGGAAAACACAGCATTGCAGGTCCCGTTTCTTATCCTGGCATTGTATGCCCCGCCCCCTCTCTCCGTCCTCTCCCAGCTCCCACCTTCCGCCTTGCAGGTGTTGTGCGTCTTCATGAAGTTGCGTGCGCAGCTGCACAGGTGGCCGCCCTTGGTGTTGTTGCAGAGCTGTGAGCAGGTGCCGAAGCGCAGGCATTCGTTGATGTCTGGGGGTTACACAGGAGGGTCACGGAAAGTCTTGCGTCTGGGGCTTCTGCCCTCCCCGCTGGGCCCCACCTTCCTACCCTGGCATCCAGGCTGGCCTGGCACCGTGTGGAAGCCAGAGCGGCAGGCACAGTACGCGGCTTTCTCGGTGCGCACGCAGCGTGCCTCATCCCCGCAGATGCTGGCGTTGGCGGCGCAGCTGGTCAGCTTGGGGTCTGCAAAGACAGAGAGTCTAGGCCTGGGCTTCGGCTCTCAGCCCCTCCCGGCCAAACCCCGCCCCAGCACGCCGGGTCTCACCGATGCTGCAGCCCTCCTCGTCAGAGCCATCCCCGCAGTCATCGAACATGTTGCAGCGCAGCGAGGAGGAGAGGCAGTGCTGGTTCCGGCACAGAAACTCCTTCTTGTCTTTGCAGTGGGGGGTCTGGGCTGTGGGCGGCTCTGGGGGAGGGCGGGGCTTGAGGTCCTGGGTATTTACCACCCTGCCCCCTCTTCCCACTGGAACCCCCAGTCAGTCACGGGTAGAGGGGGTCCCAAGCCTGGCTGTCAAGCTTCAGGGGAAGCTGGTTAAACATCCAGATTCTCAGTCTCCACCTCAACACCTTCCTCAGGGGCTTCTTTCCCAACAAGACAGGGCCTCCAGGCTCCCGGCAGTGGACCCGCCCCTCCCGGTCAGTCGGCTCAATAGATGATGAGCCCCCCTGGCCCAGCCCCCCTGCCTGCAGCACCCCCACTCTAGGCGCCCCAGGCTCCCCCTTACTGGCCCCCTGCTCACCGCAGTCCTCCTCATCAGTCCCATCCCCGCAGTTGTCCGTGCCGTCGCACTGGCGCCCGATCCACAGGCAGACGCGGTCGTTCTTGCAACGGAAGGGCCGGTTTGGAGGGCACACGAACCTGGCTGCAGCGGCGAGAGGAGGCAAGTCAGAATCAGCCTGGGGGGGGGGGGGGCGGGGGCGGGCCGAGGGCCACCAGGGTGCGTCAGAACCCCGCCCACGTCCCGACAGAAGCCCCGCCCCCGCCTGGGAGCCCCGCCCTGTCCGAAGCCGCGCCCCCACCCATGAGCCTCACCGCACTCCTCTGGGTTCTCGTCCGAGTTGTCCCCGCAGTCGTCCTCGCCGTCGCACTTCCATGCTAGCGGCTTGCACAGAGTGTTGTTGCACTGGAACTCGTCCAGGGGGCAGGTCCGCACTGGGCGTCAGGAGGAGCAAAGAGTAAAGAATGAGCCCTGAGCCCCAGGCTGCTGGCAGCCGGGTCTTGCCCAGACCCCTCCCTCCAGGGGCAGAGACCTAGAGGGAACACGGGGAAAGCGGTGGTACCACCGGATCGAACCCGAGTTTCCTAATTTTCTACCAGCCGGGTAAGCTGGGCAGAACTGCCTCCTCTGGTATTTAGGGGAGAAGAGGCATTTTTGGGGAAGTGTCCAGAGGAGTCCAGAGAGCCCTCTTTCTCTGGTGGTGTGGCAGGGCTCCGGGGCCTACTGTAGTTCAATGGCAGGTACACGCAGCTGGGAGTCAGGAGACCTAGGTTCCGATCCCTGTCCTTAGCCCACCAGTGCAGAGCTAGGATATCTGCCCTCACTGCTCCAAGCGCCAACCTTCTCTCACCCGGCCTGACCACTGCCCCAGGAAGGGAAAGTGAGCAGGCACTTTACTTCTCAGGGCAGCTGACTGCTGTGTCGGAACTTGTGGGATGGGGCCTGGGTGGACACAGCCCACAGGTTTCTGCTGGATTTCAACCCAACTGGCTCCTGATTAAGTGCTATTGCGGGGTGGCGGTAGGGTGGGAGGGCTGGGGAGCCGAGCTAGAGGGGCTCACCGCCAGTGCCGCAGGCTTCCTCGTCACTGCCGTCCATGCAGTCAGCGTCTGCATCACAGCGCCAGCGCAGGGGGATGCAGTGACCACTCTTGCACTGGAACTGGTCCATGTCACAGCGGGGGGTACAGTCTTTCTGTGGGCGCAGGAGCAGCATCCTGGTCAGACCTGGGCACCCCTGCAGGCCTGCCCTGACTCTTCTAAGGCCATCCCTCCCTCCTTCTGGTCTCCCTGCCCACCTCGTCTGAGCCATCTGCACAGTCATGATCCCCATCACATTTCCAGCGCCCAGCGATGCATCGGCCATTGGCACAGGAGAACTCACTCTCAGAGCAGGGCCGAGGGGCTGGGAAGGGCAGGGGAGAGACAGGCCCCAGAAGGGTGGGCATATGGACTCAGCTCGAGAGCATCTCCAGCCCTTGCAGAGCAATATCACCCATCCCTGAGTCCCTGAAGGCCACAGTTGACTGGCATAATGACCAAGATGCTCAACTAATCCCGGGCAAGCCAACTGGCTGCCCTCATAGGACCGGTCAGGCCCAGAGGGCACTCACACTTACCCGTCTGGGGCAGACACATGAGAGAGGGCACGGGTCCCTGGCCCTGCCCTCAGGACAGACTGTGTGTGGGGAGGGGAAGGGAGGGGCAAGACCACTAAGACAAGCACCAGGGTTTAGGGAGAGGCCAGTAAAGGAGGATGGGCTGGCACAGCACGGGGACAGGTGGGCTCTGGGGCAGCAGCAGGGGGATGTGGTAGGAGCACGGGCACATCAGAGACACCTACCTCTGCAACCCCAAGAGGACAGTGTGAAAATGGAGAGAAACATGAGATGAGGTGAAATGGCACAAACTCAAATACACAACATGGAGCGGGGTGGGGTGGGGTGAGGCGGGAGGGAGCTCCTGACCCCCAGCCCTGGGAAGCAGCCACCTGCTCTAGTGTAGCCTGGTGGCAGTGGGGCAGGGGTACTGAGCGGGGAGGTCTCCTGGGGGAGGACACCTGCTGGGCCGGGTGGGACGGGGTAGGGGACATACTGCAGCTCTCCTCATCGGAGTTGTCGCCACAGTCATTGTCGTAATCGCACTGCCAACGGCCCGGCACACAGCGGTTGTTCTTGCAGCGGAACTGGTAGGGCTCACAGGTACGCTCGTCTAGAAGAGGCAAGATTGAGGGGCAGTCAGGGATAGAGTGGGGGGCAGACGTCAGGGCCCCGGAAGGTGTGGTCAGGATGGCCAGGAGCGGGAGAGTGGGCATTCCAGCCTGACAAAAAGGTCAGCAGTGGGAGTCCAGGCCGTGTTCTGAGATGTGGAGTCTATGGGGACTTCTGGGGCAGGAGGGACACGAAAGGATGGAGCTGCTCTGGGGAGGGGATCGACAGATCCCATAGGGTGGCCAGGTGTGTGCCGATGAGGTGCTGGCAGGAGTGGGGACGGGAATTAGACAGGAGGGGGACCCAGGCGGCAGGCAGCCCCAGCCCTCCCCGTCAGGTGCCTTTCCCTGGAGCAGGGCTGGGGAAGCTCACCACACTCTTCTTTGGGCTCATCCGAGCCGTCCCCGCAGTCGTCCTCTCCATCACACTTCCAGCGTGCCGGGATACAGCGGCCCGAGTCCTTGCAGCGGAATTCATCCACTCCACAGGTCATCTGGGCTGCAAGGGGGTGGCCCAGTGATGAGGGGGAGGCTCCTTTCAGGAATGCACTGTGAGGGTGCGGCCTGGGTGGGAGCGGCCACCGAGGGGGCCACACGTGGGGGTGGTGGGAGCAGCAGACGCTGTGGAGGGAGGGTGGGCTCCAGGAGACTCACTGCAGTTGGCGGGCTCGTCACTGCCGTCCACACAGTCGTTGTCCCGGTCACAGACCCAGACTCGGGGGATACAGCGCTTGGTGATGGAGCACTGGAACTGGTTGGGGGCACAGGTCACCTCGGCTGCGGGGTTGGGGAGAGAATGAGGGCCTGCCCATTCCACCTCCCCCGCACAGTTCAAGATCCCCATCTCCTCCCTCTTCCAAGGCCTGGCCTTGTCCTGGTCCTGCCAGCAATTTCTTGGGAGGAAGGAAAATTATCTTCAACTTTGGTGATTTTGTCTTCTGGGTCCGCACATCTCTACGATGTGCATGATGATTTTACGAGCAAACCAAGTCACACCCCATATAATTTATGTTGCTCATCTAGTAACATTACTTGAGAGCAGCATGACCCCTAGAAGAAGTGGGGGCTAGGTTTCAATGTGAGTCGTGTTTCCGTGCCCATTTGCCACCGCCCGGGGCACTCACGGCAGTCCCTCTCGTCCTCCCCGTCTCCGCAGTTGTCCTGCCCGTTGCAACGGAAGATGCCGGGAATACAGCGGTTGGTGTTGGTGCACTTGAACTGACTGGGCAAGCAGACGTGGATGTCTGTGGGGGTGGCAGGAGGGGAGGGTAACTAACGGTGGGTGCAGGACTCGGGAGGGGCGGGGGTCCCACTGCCTCGGGGGGAGAGCGCAGGCCCAGGGCTGGAGAAGCAGGAGTCCAGCCTGGAGAGGTGGCCGCTGTGGGCTGGGCCTCCTTGCCCTGGGAGTGCAGTTACCAAACCCCCAAATCCCGGGGAGGACAAGGCGGGGCGGGAGGGCGGCCCTTTACCGCAGTTGGCCTCGTCACTGTTGTCCTGGCAGTCGTTGTCCCCGTCACAGATGAAGGCAGGGTTCGTGCAGATGCCCGTCGAGCACTGGAACTGTCCTGGGCGGCACTTGAACTCGGCTGCCGGGAGGGGAGACTCAGCGTCAGCAGGGCCGGGGGGGTGGGCCACTCGGGGCCTCGGGAGTCGGGCGGCCCTGACGCAGGACCCTCTTGCCACCCCGCCCGGGCACTCACGACAGTCCGGGGGCTCGTCCGAGTGGTCCCCGCAGTCGTCCTCCGTGTCACACTTCCACCAGAAGGGGATGCACTTGTCGTTCTTGCACACAAACTGGAGGGCAGGTGGGGGCGAGAGGGGTTGGTGGGGGTCTGGGGAACTCAGGAGGTTTTCTTTCGAGGGACCGGGATGTCTCAAAGAAGCAGGGGTGTCAGGTATCTTGGGGGGAGGTTGAGCTGGATGGGAGGTTGGGGTGTGGTGAGCGCAGGAAGGCCAGGCGAGGGGGCATCTGTGTGGAGGTCGGTGGGGGGAGCCAGGGTTAGGGGGTGGGGTGTTTGTGTGAGGTGACGGGTGTAAAAGTATTGCTGTGGGGAGACAAGAGGTAGGCAAGAAATGCGGGGGTGTTAGCGTGGGAAAACCAGATGTGTGAGGACAGTAGGGCGGGTGCTGGGGTCCCAGGAGGAGTGCAGGTAGTGGTGTGGGAGATCGGGGAACGAGGCATGGGGAGCGGGGTCTGGGGAAGAACCTCACCTGGCTGGCTGTGCAGTTGGACACACAGTTGCGCCCGTCACCGCCCAGGTAGAAGTTGGTGGGACAGGCACACTTGTGGCCGCCCCCGGGGGACAGCAGGCAAAGGTTGCTGCAGCCGCCATTGTTGACCTTGCAGGGGTGGTTGGGCACTGCCGGAGGAAACGTGGTTAGAGGGTGGCGGACTGGCCCAGTGTATGGACCACTGCCCCCTGGGCCGCCGGCCTCTGGCGGGGCGAGGGCAGTGCTCACTGGTAACACGTTTTCTGGTCTTTCAAAGGCTGCCTGGCCCATCTATCCTGGGCAGAGGCAGGATGGGTCCAGATCCTGCTCTTTCAGGAGGGAGCTGAAGCCAGAGATAGGAGAGGACTCTGCTGAGGTCCCAGGATCAGGCTGGACCCGAACCCCACGTGCTGCCTCCCCTGTGCTCTCCCCCTCAGCTCTGGCCTGCCTGCCTTCGGGGTCTGGCCTTGGTGGTCTCCACCCAGACCTGCTCTACTGGACGGCCTCAGGGCCTCGCTGCTACAAGATTCTAGGGCTGGACCCCAGCTGGGCTGTAGCTCCTGAGAGCCAGAACATAGCCTGTCTATAGGCCTCCAAATCTCCTGGTGTCTGCAGGCACTGCTTGGTCAGTGCTGGGGAAGGGGTGGCCTGGCAGCCCTGCTGAGACAGTGGGACCCCATCCCACCTCGGGGGCCCCTCGTGCCTGGCTCATCGGGGGTCGGCTCTCGGTGCCCGGCCGCTTACCGTCCGGCTGGCGCAGGGCATGGAAGACGTGCAGGTCCATGGGCCGGTGCAGCGTGCTAATGAGAAGTGTCTTGTTGGTGCCCGTGGTCTTGTGGGCTCTGTTGATGGACTTTGTCTCCCAGTCGGTCCAGTAGACGTAGTCCTCGAACAGGGTCAGGGCGAAGATGTGCGGTATGTCCTGGCTCAGCACTGAGGGCGGCAGGGGGCCGGGGGACAGGCCGGGCGGCCGGTCAGCACCGAGTAGTACTGGGCGCCTTCCCTACTGGGCCCTTAACCCCACAGCAGCCCTGTGAGGTGGGCACTAGCCCAGCTCCAGCCCCTGGCCGCACAGCTGGTAAGTGGCAGAGCTGAAACGCAACTCCTGGCCTGTCTGACAACGGGTTCCTGCCCAAATACACTCTACGGTTCCCTGGGAGGGAGTGGGGGCGTCCTGGGTACGCCAGCCCCAGCCCTTCTGCTCCCAGCTTCCTCAGGGCCTGTCATCTGAAACTGTGCGTGGGAAGGTGCCTCTCTCTCTCCTTCCCGAGGGAGCTGGTGGTGGCCTCATGCCTGGGCGGATCCAGGGGGCATACCCTGGGGTGCTCTGAACCCCCAGACCCCCGGTGGGTGGTGCCCTCAGACCACGCCCTCTGGCTTTTAAGCCTACTCTTGCCCCAAAGGCCTGATCCCCTGTAGCTTCAGAACCCCCATCCCCACTAGTTCGGCTGTGCCTGGGCAGCCTCACTGGCACACTGACCGACGTGACGATTGGAGCCATCCAGGCTGGCAAACTCAATGTAGTCCTCACGGGCGTCGGCCCAGTAGATGCGCTCGGTGACGTAGTCCAGCGTCAGGCCGTTGGGCCACGTGATCTTGGTGTCCACGATGACACTGCGGCCAGACCCATCCATGCCGATCCGGCCGATCAGTGAGTGGTCCCCCCAGTCTGTCCAGTACAGGTACCTGTCAGGTGGGTGAGCAGTCAGCCCTGAGATATCCAGCAACTGGTCCCACCAGGAGCCTGCAGGGAGGCTGGGCCTGGACGCCCGAGTGTACCAGCTGCTTTCAGAGGCTCCCCCAACCCTCCTCGCCCACGTACCCATTCTGCACGTCCACCACCAGAGCCCTGGGCTCACGGAGGCCAGAGCTGACCAACACCGTGCGATAGGCCCCGTTGAGCTTGGACACTTCGATGGTGTCCCGGCCTTTGTCACACCAGTACAGGTTGCCGCCGACCCAATCCACAGCCAGCCCGTCGGGATTGCTGAGGCCCGTCCTGTGCAGCACCTGCGGGCAGGGGCAGGGAGGAAGGGCCCTGGGTGAGTTGGGGCAGGACTCTCAGCCGCTCTAGGAGCACAGTGGAAGGAAAAAGGCCCAGCCCCGGGCATGGTGTCAGCCCAGGCTCGAGGATAGGGGTCTCTGGATGAGAGAGAACACAACCCAAACCCCACAGGGCCTGGGAGCACAGGTTTAAGGGAGGTCAGACAGAAGGGGAACTTACTGCTAATTAGGGAAAGAGAGACAGGGATCTCCTAGACCTCGCTCGCTGGGCTTAGGGGAGAGAGGAGTAGGGACAAGCAGAGTCCTGCGGCGACTCAGTGTGGAGCGGGGAAAAGGAATAATTCAGTGGGGTGGGTGAGAAGAAGGGGAGATGGCCTTGAAACGGAGAGGGCCCGCCGGGCAGGGACATGGGCTGACTCTCTGCCCCCGGCCTCACCTGTACGTTGCTCCCGTTAAGGTGCATCCTTCGGATCATGCTGCCCTGGGTTGTCACGTCTGTCCAGTAAATCATTTGCTCTCGGTAGTCAAAGTCCAAGGCGACAGCGTTGTTCAGGCCCTTGGTTTGGGGGGTGAGCAGAGGGGTGACCGAGGAGTCGGGAAGGGGACGGCGGGAGAAGTCGGTGGGGGGTGGCCATGGGCCCGAGCGCGGAGACTGGGGGGCTGTACTGGGTGAGGGGCGTAGCGGCGGGTCTGGGAGGCAGTGGGGCAAGGAGGGCGGGTCTGGGAGGCAGTGGGGCGAGGAGGGCGGGTCTGGGGCGAGGAGGGCGGGTCTGGGAGGCAGTGGGGCGAGGAGGGCGGGTCTGGGAGGCAGTGGGGCGAGGAGGGCGGGTCTGGCACCTGCTTAAGCAGCGTGTAATC